CAGATGGATTTATTTAGGAAGGCTTCGTTTTTTGTGAATATGAAGATGAATATAGCAACTGGAAAGAAGTAGCAAATTGAAGTATTAGAGGGGATCATTAAATCTCAGGAGAAGAAAATAAGGAGTTTGATTTGACTATCTTCTTTTAGTTAATGTTTAAAAAATGACTGAAGGAAGAAAGTTGAATTTAGTAGTCTTGCTGAAAGATACACAGTTGATGAAATGTGTTCAGAAAATAGATCTTTGCTCTCATGAGAAATGAAATTTTTAAAAAATCAGTAGGGACATGTTCTCAAAATAATGCTTAGCATTTCTATTAAGCTGGACTTCAAGATTTTGGCAAGAGATCACATGCATTCTTTAATGTTAAATTGTAGATCCACTGTTCCAGAGGTTCTAACTTTGGGCAATAGTGCTAAATTTCTGAAAAATAATGAAAATTACCAGCACACCTTAATAGATTCCCATACCTATCTCCATGTTTGTCTATCTCGGCAATTTTAAAATCTCAAAATATCTTAATGTACTAGAAAAAAATTAATAGAAGAAACTAATCAAACATAGAAGAAATTAAGTCAGAGTTACAAATATTATGAAATAAGTGAAGTCACAAGTGAGTAAGGTTTTGGCTCTGTTTTTTGGTTCAGACAAGAAGCTATGATGTTCTTTAGCTAATGAAACCTGGGAAAGAAGAGATAGGAACAGTTAGAAGAAATCCCAGGATGGTGGGTGTGCAGATAAGGACCGATGACTGTTCATTTTCCTGGTTACAGCTTCCACTTTAGGCTGGCTTTTCTAAACTATATTAATGCTTTACCTCCTTCTGCATCTGGAGAGACTGTTGAGCACTTTGATGCATTAATTACATAGTGGTATTTCTTGGCCTCGCTGGAGATTCAACAATGAGTTAAACAGGGTCTTTGCACTCATGAAGTTTGCGCTCAACTGGAGGGAAGCAGACAGTGAACAAAAAACTTGAGAGAGGTTCTTATGTCATGTGGTAAAAGTTGTGCTAGAAAGACATTTCATTAGAAATAGTTAATATATTAGTTCAGTCAAATATATCAGTGTGGCTTTGCTTTTCTGATTCTTTCCAAAGGGGCACTGCCTGAAAAGAGTTTAGATGGTGAGAGGAGGGGAGGAAGAGCATAATGCACTAACAGTCTTTGCTTTAGCAGAGATACAGCACCAGGTGGAAAGCAGATGCCAGAAGGAGAAGTTAGAGGATCCTTAGTAAAGTTGTGGTTATTGCAGAGTTTTCACCATGTTGGCCTTTCTACAGTATTGTTGAATTTACCTGCTACAGGTGGTGACTGGGTCATAATGACATTAATCTGTGAAAAGGCTTTTTTCAGAGTTGACTAGCCTGACCTGTTGCTTCAATGTCATACAAGCAGCACTCATAATACCTACGTTAGCTATAAAAGTGACACCTGGCCCACTCCAACCCAACTCTCCTTCCCAAAGACTTTCTCAGGACCTTGTTCATTGAGTAGGTCTGAGATGTCATCCTGCCAGCATTACCCAGTTGAAGTACAATACAATGAGTGCTACTACGTAATGTAATAGAAATTCCTAATAAATGTTTTCTTCTCGAATTTACTCTATCATGTTTGATTTAGGGTGTAATAGATTGTCAAAACCCATTTTTGTTACCCACATCAGGGCAAGATCATTAAATAGGAATGAATTAAAGAGCCAGTATGACCTGAGACGTATCTAATCAGTTGCTTTGCACACTATAGAGATCAGAAGCTTATTATGCCATGAGCACATTTACTAGTTTGAGAGAACAGAGTGAAGATTTCATTGTGTTCATTCATTTATTTAAAGCACATAAAATATTTTATAACATTAAGATTTTGACATTTAAATTCCAGCCTGGGGAAACAAAGGGAATGGGTTGTCCTGCATTTTTTGTATGGACTTAGTGTTTTGGTTGAATATTTGTCAGGTTACATTTAATCAATGGAAGTATACCTTTAGGTTATAGCATTATAGAGCTACACTGTTATATTCACAATTATTAAAAACAATAATCATTTAACCAATGTTATAACATTTATTAAAAAATTAGGGAACCAGATGACATAAAATGCTCAAAGAAACAAGTATAAATATTTTATGCATATGTGCATGCATTTTTTCTAGTATTATACATATAAAATATTTTAATCTAATGTAGGATTATATCATGAATATTGCTCTAGATCAGCGGTTCTCAACCTGTGGGCCGCGACCCCTTTGGCGGTCAGACGACCCTTTCACAGGGGTCACATAAGACCATCCGGCATATCAGATATTTACATTATGATTCATAACAGTAGCAACATTACAGTTATGAAGTAGCAATGAAAATAATTTTATGGTTGGTCACAACATGAGGAACTGTATTTAAAGGGCCAGAAGGTTGAGAACCACTGCTCTAGATGTTTAGTTATAAAAATGGTGGCCTTGGGCAAAGGGGATTTGTGCAGCTGAGGCTGACCCTGAAGTCAGTCTCTATTTAAAATTTGATGTTTTTTTTGTTATTTTGATATTTAAATATTTCATTAAAATATAATTTATCTTGATTACTGTGTGTGTGTGTGTGTGTGTGTGTGTGTGTGTGTGTGTGTCCCTTTAAACAGCTAGGCAGAAAGTACTGGACTTCCCCCAGGAGGGTTCTGGACAATCATCTTGATTTCTACCATACAAGTGACATTTCCAATTGTAGATTCTTTCTCATCTTGCATCACTAAGTATGATGTGAAATAGAGCCTAGACAACCTGTGGGTTGAGAAATAAACCTTTATTGTTTTTAGACAGATCTTGGGGACTGTTTATTATCAAGGTCATCTTGACCTATGCGGGAGTTTGTACTCAAAGTTGGATGCCTAACAGAAACTAAAATATAGAAAGCAATTGGCGTCAGCTAAATGATGAGATTGTGGACAGTGAGAAAATAGCTATCTGAGGCTGGAAAGATGGCAGTTCATTTTGTTCTGTGGCAAAACACTCAATGAAAACGATGCCTTTGGTTTCTTGGAATAAGGATCTTTTACTCGACAAAATTCTTGCTATAAAAGACGGGGATCAGAAAAGAGGTTTTTTGTGTGGTGGGTGTTGGTTGTTATGTCTGTCTTTAGTAAGTTATTAAAAGAAATAGCAGCACAATTTTCAATAGCTAAGATCTGGAAATAGCCCAAGTGCCCATCAGTAGATGAGTGGATAAAAAAGCTGTGGTCATTTACACAATGGAATACTGGGCAGTTGTAAAAAAAGAAGGATCTGTTACCCTTTGAGACAGCATGAAGGGATCTGGAGAGTATTATGCTAAGTGAAATAAGCCAGTCAGAGAAAGACAAGTATCACATGATCTCACTCACATGTGGAATCTCATGAACAAAATAAACTGATGAACGAAATGGTTCCAGAGAAGCATGGAGCAGACTGAAGAATCTCAGAGGGAAGGCTGGGATAGGTGGGTGGGTGAGGAGAAATTAACCAAAGAACTTGTATCCAAATATGCAGAGCCCATGGATATAGATAATAGTATGGTGAAGGCCTAGGCAGGGAGGGGTTGTGGAGTGGAGTGGCTCAATAGGGAAAAAAGAGGGTCATCTGTAATACTTTCAACAATAAATATAAATTAAAAAAGGAAAAGAAAGAAGTT